CATGTCTGTTGATTTCACTCTCAAGTCTTTCATCCTCCTCATTCTCGACAACAACTCGAATGTATTGCGCCATCGGCAGAGAAGGGCAGTAGGCAATCGAAATACATCATGAGAAGCAGGTACTTTTCAAGTTGATAGCGATTATGCCCTTTTTCGGGATTATTGAAAGAATCTTGTCTCTCCATTGCATTTCTGTGCCTGTGACGTGAACATAATACGAACTAATTTATATTTATTCAGGTGTTATGATCAACACAAAACGATTGGATTCAACTTTGTATAAAATTACTGATATTTATTGATGTACGCGTTGGTTCCGTAGGCCCACTCGAAAAGAAGAGAGAGATGATTTCAGTACAGATAGATAGATAGATAGATAGATAGATAGATAGATAGATAGATATGTGCAAATTTAGGCTAAGATACATGAAAATATTGAGCAGATAGATAAGCACTGATTGAGGTTCATATTTATATTATTATTAAGAGGAAAGAGCAAAGACTTTTTTGATTATTAAATTATGTTTCTAATCTGAAATCTTGGTAAAAAAATCTTGGGGTTTTTTTTTGCGTCAGCCGGGGTGTGGGGCAAGGATTAGTATGGGAATTTTTAGATATTTTTTGCAGTGAAAAACACATTTATTACAAAATCAAAAAATTATCGAATTTTAATGAAACTTTCAAGACCTATTCCCAAATGAATTAAAATATTGTTTTTAGAAAATCTTCGTAAAAATATCTCTTACCCCCTACCAATTAATTTTTATTAATATGTTTTTAATTTCTGCATTATTTTAAAATTAAACTAATATTTGTTTCAAATCAGATTAATTAAATTTTAAATTAGATAATATTCCTCAAATAAAGTTTCAGAAAAGTATATTTCATTTTGGAAAGAGAATTACATCAAGATGATAGTTGGCTAAAAATGGCGCTAAAATTACGTATTTTAACAATTTTAAAATGAAAACTGCTTCCAGTCAATTTAAATTAGTTTTGAAATACACAAAAAGTAGTTCGCTCATTGTAAATATTAAATCTAATCTATTAGCTTGAAATTAAAACAAAATAGAAGCTTCAAGAAAGATTTTTCATTTTTAAAAATTCATTTTAAACCTTAGATATCGCGTTTCTGCGAAGGTACCTAATTAAATTTAATATTTCAAATAAGTAACATTCTTTGCTGTATTTCAATCCGAATTTACATTGATTAGATTCTTTTTTTCTGATTATTAGAATATTCGATAAAACCATCCATATTGACAAATCTGTCAACACAACATAATTTACTAAAAATATTTTTAAAATAAAATATACTTTTCTGGAGTGGTTAGCTGATTTATAGTTTAATTACTCTGAATTAAAACAAATATTATTTAATTTTTCGTTTAGAATATCGAGGAAAGCATTTTTAACACGGAGATGGGTGTTTTTATGTGGTGACACATTTATCGGCAACCTGATGTTTAGGAAATGGAGATAAAATTACATGACAAAATTTATCGTAAACGCCTTTTTATATTATGTTTTTTAACTACCCAGTAATCTTAAAAATGTAAAATATTTTAAGTATTCTAATATTTCATTGAATTGTAGGTATTTACGAAAACGTTTGTTGAGGAAATATTAGAAAATTACCAATAAATTTTAAATTTAATATAGTTACCCCTTCTTCGACCGGGTGTTTCATTACTGGGAATTTTTGCCGTTCACTTGGGGCAGTTTAAGTATAAATTCAGCCCACCCAAAAATCAATATTAGTAACAACAATTGGGTGCAACTGAGACACATCACCAAATGGGGGGGAGTTAACAATTTGAATGGGGGGGTCCCTGAAAAGGGTCGTTTTTGCGTTCTCAATCTTGCAAGGAAGGAACTCTTTCCATGAACCGTCATAATAATAAAATACGATATTTTTATTATATAAATATATATATAATATTTTTATTATATAAATATATATTATTATATAAATATATATATAATATAATATTTTTTATAATTTTAATAATCTTTTGCGTTAGAGTTCAACTCTCTAAATTCATTGTACGCTGTTTTTTTTTACATACAATAAATTTTGCCTTTGATTTTGGCGCGAAGTGTAAAAATAGAAAATTGATTTTTCACCTTCAAGGTAGTAATTTTTCCAGCCAATTTGGACTCAAAACCGTCACTGAATAATTATCTATCAAACAAAAAAAATCATTGATATCGGATGAAAACTGTGGAAACGCATAAACAACATTTTTTACACACACACATACACACGCACATACACACGCACATACATACACAGACGCATTTTTAGAATTATAGATATAAAGATAATGTCGTGTATGGATGTCCGTATTTACAAAATTCAGCAAGTTTAAAAGATTTAAAAGTTTATACATTATTGTATAATACTTAAAATTTTAAAAAAAGATAATGCTGTTCATAATATATTTTATTCATAAAAGCTTTTAAAAGCTTTTCTAATTAACTAGTGTCTCAATTTCGTTGGATTTTTATTTTACGATTCAGAGCAGATTTTCTGTAACTTGGGGTCCTGTTTTCCAAAAAGAATTGATAATTTATATTCTCTGGTATCTTTGCCTTATAACTAATGTAAACATTAATTATCGAAATATCCTAAAATTAAAAAAATGATGACGGGGGGGTAACAGATTTTTAAAAAAATATATCTCTACCGAAATTTTCTATAAATGAAACATATCAAAATTATTCTAATTCTATTTCTGAATAAATCCTGAAAATTGCATTAAAATCCGTCAATTATCTGATTTTTGCAAGAATTTCCAAAACAATATGTTTTGCTCGGTAAAAAGACGATAAAATTCCCTATAAAAATTTATCGACCCACGTTGACGCCAGAAAAAAAAAAACAATATATTTAACCAAAATTACAAGGGTTCTAAAAAGGATTGGAAATATTACTTTTGTACTTTCCTCTTAATAATAACACAAATATTTTGACGATAAAACTCTGACTTTATGAAGTTTGTATTCTCATGCACATTTTTACTGAATCTTTGGATGTACTTACATACATGACTATATATATATATATATATATATATATATATATATATATATATAATAAAATAATTGTGATAGATAGATAGATAGATAGATAGATAGATAGATAGATAGATATATGAACGAGCTAGAGAGAGAGAGGTGAGAGAGATAATTTGCTGTAATTCTCTTATGTGCTAAATCTATGTAAGTGGAGCACCCAGCAAATTACAAAGACTTGCTTGTTAAATTAACTAGCTAACCACAACGCCAGGACAGCTGTTAGGTTTATTAAGAAAGAAAGAAAGAAAGAAAGAAAGAAAGAAAGAAATGTTACATGAAAAAAGTCGAAGTAGGGTTAAAGAGAGTAACAAGTGTGTGCGCGCGCGCGCGTGTGTCTGTGTGTGTGTGTGTGTGTGTGTGTGTGTGTGTGTGTGTGTGTGTGTGTGTGTGTGTGTGTGTGTGTGTGTGTGTGTGTGTGTGTGTGTGTGCCGATGAATACAAGAGCGTGTGTTCGTATTTGTATTCAGGAAGATACGTACAAGTGCAAAAATAAAGACAGCAGGTGGAATATAGATAAAGAAAGCTTTTATTATAGAAGTTGGAATGGACTTCTACCTATCTGTATATAGTAATGAATTTTTACGATCGTCTGTGTGTCATGTGAGGATAATTCTGTAAGTTTGCCATTGGCAATTTACATAGTACCTTGTGGTGGCGTAAGCGTTAGCAAATCAATAACTAAGCACTTCTGTGTGGAGGAACGGATCAGAAAAGTAGTCTTGTCGGCCATTACTACATTTCAATCCTCATTTGAGATCCAGTACATGTGGACCTTGTTCCAGAGACTAAGCGAATCTTAGGAAATAAAGTTTTAGACAGCTTTATTTGGAATAAAAGTTAGTAGATAGTCCCATCGTCCATCGTCTATTATAGCGATTTCAATACTCACTGGGGTCCAACACATGGCGCCTTGGACCCGACGAAACTAAGCTTAGTAAATAGTGTGGTTGAAAGATATTTTTGAAGACGTCCATCTCATACCATAATAATCAGAGCACTCCCTTATTTTTGCCAGACTTTGAATTATGACACTTTGTGTCTTTCATATGTTTTGACAGAACACCTGATGAACATTTATGAACTTTCTCAAATTTAAAAGCCTTGATAAAACAATGGCATCCTTGCTTTTGTATATAAACACGTGCAACAAAATAAATCCTACATTGCCCTGATAAAGTCCGTCAGAGGACGAAATGCGTCGGCTAAGAATAGTTTTTCCTCTTGTCTCTTTTTATTCATTTTCTTCCTCTGCAGATACACTCTATCTGAAAATAATTTATATATATATATATATATATATATATATATATATATATATATATATATATATATATATATATTGTGTGTGCAAAATTCAGATATAAATAAAAATGTATCTGAAAAAATACAAGATGAATAAAAACAAAAGAAAACTATCCTTTATCAATTCGTTACGTTCTCTGAAAAAAAGCCTACGATAAAGTCCATTGTTTATTGTATTTTTCCAATTTTCGAATAAGGTATTGTATATGATAGAAATTGTGGATAAACTCCGTGAAATTCATTTTGTGATGTTGTTTTGTTCCGTGAATGCTGGAAAACCTCTTCAAAGATGAAGAAGTGACTTGAAACAACAGAAATGCGGTTCTACAGAAGGATGCTGAGGATACAGTGGACCGAACATTATGAGCAATGCCGAAGATTTATAGAAAACAGAAACAAAATGAAACTAATACTTAACATCAGAAAGAGACAGTTGAGATTTGGGGAGCTTTATAAGGAGGAAAGAGGGTTTGGAAAATCTGATACTCACAGTACAGATTGAAGGAAAGAGGGAAAGAGGAAAATAGCACATAAACTACTTGAGCTTGAGTAAATGTATGGCAAAACAGGGCCGATGAGAAATAACAAAAGTACACAACTTATTAAGAGATACAATGGACAGGAAATTGTAGAGAGCCATGACCCCTTAAGTCCTGTGTGTAAGTAGGGGTTCTGCCTTGTCGGTTTTTTATAACCGAACTTGTTTGGATTAATATTTGTTACCTAAAGATGCCTTACATATAACATTCTTGCTCTTGTACATAATACTTGTTACAGAATAAAATCCTAGCATTTGACTTGATAAAGTCCCTCAGAGGACGAAACACGTCAGCTAAGATAAGTTTTTTCTTTTGTCTTTATTCATGTTGTCTTTTTACAGATATAATCGATCTATAATTTTGACTCACTTCTCTAAGTGTTACTTCAATGGTCAGGCATCATCTACTTTTGAGAAGTTGTTCAAACCGATAACTTTTCAGCATTTCTCTCTCTCTCTCTCTCTCTATATATATATATATATATATATATATATATATGTATACACACACACACACACACATATATATATATATATATATATATGCAGAGAGAGATAGAAACTGAGATAGATATATATAAACAGGTCGAGATAGATATGAACTGACTGAAATAGATAGATAGATAGATAGATAGATAGATAGATAGATAGATAGATGTGGTGTGTGTGTGTATGCGTGCCCATATATATATTTTTTTTTTTTTTGCGTGTTCAAGTGAGAAAAGATACTCAAGTTTGTATATTTGCGCTCGTCTGTCAGACTCCAATTTCCAAATCGACCCTTCAGGTCAAAATCTTGCAATCCAAGATTGCAAGGTGGAAGAAAATTCAATCTTTATTCAAACCCGCACTTTCAAAGCCAGACAATGGAGAGTCTTCGAAAATGTCTTTGTTTCTGATTACCGTTTTCTTATCAGACACTTCGTCAGCCGACCAATATCCGACAGAAATTGCTGGGCTTCACGTAACTCTGTGTCTCCGTTATGATTGGCTCCTCCTAAAAAGGACTCGTTGGCCATCACCTTGAAAATCAAGTCTACATTTAAATCAGTCCCTACGCAAGAACACACTGGCTTCCAGCTTTGTGCAATTGGCGAGGATAGATTTATAATACGATAATTTGTATTCGTTTTTCACACGTATATAGGCACTCCGACAAGTTAATGCTTACAAGATACACTTATCAGTCACAAGGTATTATCCTGCTATATATATTTATACATGTTTCACCCTACGGCTATATCAGGTTGATAATACCGGTTCTCGTACAATCTCCGAGGATAAGCAAGGTTAAGCCTGGTCAGTACCTAGATGAGTGATAGCTTGTGAATATTAGGTGCTCTAAACATGGACGTGCGGGTGGTGTAATGGATAACCACTTGGAATTAGAACTCGGCTCACAAAGATCTAATTTCAGTCAGTTTCCTTATATTTAATTACTCGCAAATACCCTAGCGAAATGTATGAAGCCACTTGCCCTCCCCTACCAGCTATGGGGTAATTAGTAAAACTTGCCTCAGTAAAAGTCATTATTATCTAAAAAAAAAAAAAAAAATCGTACAATCTAAAAATACTTTCTGGCTTTAAATAACCTGCAATGGTTTGATAATCCGTAAAAAATATATCAGTCAGTTATACAAGTTTCGTTAAAACTCAACGTGAATTATTTAAGGATTCTTTCTTTTTTATTTCTGAATTTTTAATCACATGTCACCAACAAAGATAATAAGAAAACAGAAGAAATTTGACAAATCCTTACCAATCGCATAAACATATTATACAATGGTGATGAAAATAAAAATATTATACAATGGTGATGAAAATAAAAATATACAATGGTGATGAAAATAAAAATATTATACAATGGTGATGAAAATTAACATATTATACAATGGTGATGAAAATGAACATATACAATGGTGATGAAAATAAAAATATTATACAATGGTGATGAAAATAAAAATATTATACAATGGTGATGAAAATTAACATATTATACAATGGTGATGAAAATGAACATATACAATGGTGATGAAAATAAAATTATTATACAATGGTGATGAAAATAAACATATTATACAATGGTGATGAAAATAAAAATATTATACAATGGTGATGAAAATATTAGCCGTTTCCCTTTCAAGAAATATTTGACCTTCATTGGCTACTGTCGATTGCAATTTATAAAATCTTTCTCTTAAAACTTTTTTCTAAAAAATATGTTTCTCAAATTCAGTTGTTTTTATCGCACTTCCAGTATTGATAGGGGTTTTCTTCCTAACCTTTTGTTTGAAGTAGAGTGTGACGTCGACATTACAATTATATCATCATCTTTAAGTTACATGTGATAACCATTATACAGGATGGATACAGGTAGCAGATATTCATTTAAATAAGTTTTGTTGAAGACGAAAGGCAAGTTATATCTATTATATCGTTTAATGATCTTTTTTTTCCTTGATAGCACTCTGACAAGTTTCCGTATCATGGTGATGAAGGCGTAAAACAAATGTTCACGGTTCATGTCGGCTATAGTCACGGTTCAGAGATTTCGACTGTCCAGAGTCATTTTCAGGAAAGAAAGTAATTAGATGAAATTACTGGCCGCCTGATGATTTGATGTGATTCTAATTTTTGAATCTTTCAGCTGTCACACGAGATCGATGTTATTTATCTAACATTTGAAACACGGCGATAGTCTGGATTCTGAGAATTTACATGCATTTCAAAGTGCCTATTCCAGAGTTATACGAACTTTTGCTGATTATTGCTTGTTTGTTTAAATATTAGATCGTTTCTAAAATGCGTAACTTTTCTTTACAATTTGTTTTGTTAAGTGGTATTGTGTTATATACAAAGAAATATCTTATATTATTGAAATGTTTATGTCTCTGTATAACGTGTTGCCTTGTAGTAACATGAACCACACAGAGAGAAAAAGACCTGTCGCTATATATATATATATATATATATATATATATATATATATATATATATATATATATATTATAAAAAAAATCCAAAATTATCTTATTTGGGTATAGTCTATTTCAAACTAACACAGCTATGTACCAGCTATCTCAGCACAAGGCTGTCTGGAAATTGTATTCTTGGAATTTGGTTTAGATAGCGTTGGTGAAAACGCATGGAGCCACTTAAAGGGATGCCTCAGTTTAGATAAGGAGTCTGGGTTGATAACCGGGAGATGGACCGGGATTCAGAGTTTATTATATATATATATATATATATATATATATGTGTGTGTGTGTGTGTGTGTGTGTGTGTGTGTGTGTGTGTGTGTGTGTGTGTGTGTGTTCAGGGCCGGATTTAGGACTTAAAAGGATCCTGGGCTAATAGAATTTGGGGGTCACTTCATTACGTATGACTTCACCTCCCCCGTGTCATATGCTTTACAATATTGAGCAATTTTGCACTTATTACATGTTAAATGAAGTGTAAAATTGACAAAGTGGACAAAATTATGCAAAACGAAAAAAAGCTACATCAAAAATCTATATATAAAAAGACGCATCAAAATCTAAATGGCTTCAAGTGGCTCAATCGAATTTAAAAGACCCATTCCAACTAGAGGGGCTAAATACTCGAAATTGTTTCAAATTAGTTCAAAGGAGCCCCATAAAATATGAAAAGAAACAAATCTCCTCTGTTCTTATATCTTTAGTTGTTTTTTTTTTTTATTTTTAACAGAGGCCCAATACTGGTGGGGTCACTCAATGCCCGTCTAGTCATGTAGACCCAGATTTTCGATCCATATTACCCCATATTGTTCGGTATTGTGCGTATGTGAAACTATATTCATGAAAAAAGGTGGCAATAGACAATTTAGTCAATTTTATAATGACTCTGCTGATACTGATTGGAATATATTGATGTAGTAGAAATATAATTTCTGTTATTTTAACATTTAACAAATAATACAAATACTTATTTATTTATTAAATTATTTTAACTTCAAGATTATTTTTAGTTTGCATATAAACTAAATTACTAAATAGTAAATAGTAAATTTTTCGCATATAAATAGTAAATCTTACTTACGAAATTTCAAATACTAAAATAGATCTCATCGTTTTTCTTAACGCAAGTAATAATTTCTACTGACTTCAAGATATGAATTAGGTTAAAAGTCTTTGGGGTAATTCACATCTTTAATATGCTTCTGAGTTTGTTATGTCTTTGCTGTCACGCGTGGTTAATCTTATTTATTTGTGTTCTAAAACTATGGACTCACGTGACCGTCACGTAGTATAGGTTCCGAGAATTTAAATACATTTTAAATTTCCACCTCTAGAATCTAAAGTGATTTTGCTAACTGTTGCTTATCTAAATCAAAACATCCACCACTGTTGTGATTCTGGAATAAGCAGTTTAAAATCTATTTAAATTCCTAGAATCCACGCTACGCCACGGTTACTTGGCACCAAAGTTTCAAAACTAAATAAACAACATCACCCTCACGCTACAACGCAAATTTCAAAATCATTCCAAAGATTTAAACTACAACATTAATTTTCATCTAATTCCTTTCTTGATAATGATTGAATCCAGTCGAAGTCTCGGAGTTTTATAAAGAAATAACACAAATTGCGGAAATTAAAAATACGGAAATTAATCTGCCAAAAACATATGGTGCGACAGAAATACTGCCTCCCAGGGATACCTCCTACATAAATAGATTGGTAAGATATTAGCAAGATGAAGACATCATTTCAACTAATCTAGGTAGGTATATGTGTTTCAATGTTTTAGATATTCAATAAATTTCCTAAGGCTGTAATAGCTTTCAAATAATATGGCATTGTTCACAATGAAGCGTCAGAGCTTGATTCACTTGCAAGTGCAAACGCATGAACGCCGCCCTCCTTGGCACGTTTACTGTAAAGCTGGGATTAATAAGAGATTCTTCCGGAATTTTTCCCATTTAACGCTTCAATAATCCTTCTCAAATAAATGTTGTTCGAATGCCAATTTAGGATGAAATCATATGAAGAAACTATTGGCTAAATGAAAAAATGCCGATTTTGGACCTAGTTTGTCGCAGATTTCGTCCGCTTAACTGAAATATTCTAAACCAAACATTCACCCAAGACAATTTGCGTGTCATATTTAATTTACATGGCAAATTTGGAAAGCATCAGATAAAAAACCAGGGAGTTATGGCCGAAAAACGGACTTTTTGAACAGTTTTTCGTCGTTTTTCGGGGAAGTGAGCAGAACTAAAACCACTATCTTATTTCTTGCATGATGTCAATTTTTTGCGGCATGTGAAGGAAAAACCTGATTTGTTCACAGTTTTTTGAATTTTTTTGTGTATAGCCAATGTCGCAGGAAAACTTTCAAGCACTCTACATAAATCTCATAACATGAGCTGGTGTTTTGCATTAAGTGCAAAGAACGTCAATTCATCCAGTAAAGATTTTGTTTGCATGTAACTATGCCTTGGTTTTTGCCAAATATCGTACTCACCTCCAGTTTTATGGATTTTTCTGCCAAACCCGGGGGGACCTGGAGATTGAAACGTTGGTCTAGACCTACTTTGTGTACCATTTCATCGAAATCGGTTGATAAATGTGGACGTGCATAAATAGCATACATACTCAGACACATACACGCACACACGCACAGAGTTACCTTACTGCTTTATCCTCTCTCTCTCTCTCTCTCTCTCTCTCTCTCTCTCTCTCACTCTCTCTCTCTCTATATATATATATATATATATATATTTGGAGGAATATGAGAAGGTAAACAAACTTAGTCCGATGAAATCCTAAGGAACGAAACGCATCCCACCACAAAAACGTTTTACACTTTCATACATATTTCCTCAATATATATATATATATATACACACACACACACACACACACACACACACACACACACACATATATATATATATATATATATATATATATATATATATATATATATATATATATATATGTTGTGGTAGGATCCACCTAATTTGCATAGTGGGAGTACCGACCATATAAATATGGTTGGTACCGGGAAGAGGGAGGAATCAAGAGATTCAACCAAAGACTCTGTCCGACTGCGACTCAGTCAACACTTTCTCCAGGAACGGTCTTACCAGGAATATACAAAAGACTATATGTAAATATTGTGTACACTTTCTTGTTTCAATACATTTTGTTCTAAGTACATTTTGTGTTGCATTATTATTCCATGCATTAGTCAAGTTTCAACAATATATAGCGAACAGATGAATAAGGACTTATCTTACGATCGACTTTAGGTTTCGCGAATATACCACTCATCAGGGACAGGTAACTAGGATTTATCTTACACTGATGAGCACTGTATACGCGAAACTTAAAGTTGGTCGCAAAATAAGTCATTTGAACATTTTTTCGTTTGTAGACTTTGGTTTCTCTAGGTTTCTTGTTGAGAAATTTATTTACAAAATCTGGTCGCCACTTTAAACGGTTTAAATTCTAGTAACCTTACGTGTTTTATTAGACCACATCAATATATATTCAAACAGGTTTGGTTAAATAATATAGACATATCATGTTGATTACTTTTCCTTGTGATCCTTTCAAGTTCGCAGATTAATTTTTTGCTAGACTTAGAAAATTGAGTAAGAAAAATACCGAAATTTTCTTTCGAATCATTGTAAAGCCAACGTACGTATTAACATTTTTGTCAGAAATACAATCTCGGAAAGGACATTTAAATTGATATACAATGTTGGCCTTTAGCAAGATGCTAGTTGGCGAAGGAGAATTGTTTTGGACAACTAGGTTGTTTGTATTAAATTTAGTATAGTATATGATTAACTTTATTTTTTTACTTGGATCAGTGGGAACATATATTAGTGTTTATGATTTTTTTAAAGAATTTTATCCTTCTGTTTATAGTTGGATTGCATTTGATTACGATATAATAATTTGATATGTTTAGAGTTATTTGATGATATATTGTATTCATTTTTAATAAAATATATCATATATATATAAATATATATATATATATATATATATATATGAAGAAAAATACAGAAAAAACAAACAAAAAAATCTTATTATGCAATTATGCTGTATTAATGTTATAAAGTCGACGTCGGACGTTTCGGTCTATTTAAGACCATCTTCATGGACATTTTCATTAGAATTTTATATTAACATTAATACAGCATAATTGCATAATAAGATTTTTGTTTGTTTTTTCTGTATTTTTTTCATATATATATATATATATATATATATATATATATATATATATATTTTTTTTTTTTTTTTTCTGTATTTTTCTTCATACTGTCGGATCTATATCCATATATTTGCTTACATATAAATATATATATATAGTCTATCTGTATCTTATTGTATATATATATTCATCTCTTGTCTGTCTACTAAGAGTGTTGCCAGTTACAAGTTTCTAGATATTCTGTTATTCGTTCATACAACTTTTCAGATCTCTACGCAGTAAATCTTTGTGCTGAGCTGGCAATGAAATTCAGGTCCTTCATGATTTCTTAATATCCACCCGTTTATAACGGAAATATGAAAAGGTCATCGCTATTTAATCATTACCATACAATTATCTTTTACAATTAACGATATCATTAATGGAAATGAAATCAAAAATAAAGTAAACCTTAATTACAATGCAGTAAGACCAACTCAAAAATTCCTTTCACATCAGAGATAGGTCGATAATGACAGACTGCTATAGGTTGTGATTGGTGCATACATAGGTATTAAGTAATTAAGATATAATAAACCTTCTATTTAATAAATTAATATTGAGTAAAGTGTGTCCGTTTGTGCCAAATACCCGTTAAATCCAAAAGCTAGGAAACACATGTTTTTGTATTTTTATTGCTTAATCTAAAAAGACGATTTAATATAATACAGACTTCTTCTTTTATTACCGTGTCCCTTCAGGTCGTGGACAATTATAGCTATCTAACGGTCACAACGTTGAGCGTGGTCAGTACTTAGATGGTGACCGCTTGGGTAACCCAGGTGCTAGAAGGGTGATTGGTGCAATGTATAACGGTTCTGAATTGAAGATCGAGTTCCGATTCCAGTCGGGTTTGTTATATTCACTTACGCGAAAATACCATTGAGAAAGGTAGGTATCCACCTCTACTCCCCCCAGCTATGGGTTAATTAGTAGAAAAATCATTGTTGTCTCGAAAAGTTCTTACAATCTAATTTTTTCTAGCATTAAATAACCTGCAAAAGGTTGATACATCGTAAAAAAATCAATCGACCAATCATATAGCAATCCACAACTTCCGGTCTTTCATTCCTAACATTCATTTACACAAGCTCATTAGGTAGATTATACCCTATTTATCTGTGTCCCACTGGCATTCAACCTGTCTTATGAGTATCAAATTCACCGAACCCTCTTTCCTAATTATGTGTCCCAGAAAGTTCAACTGTCTCTTTCTGATTATAAGGATAAGTGTCTTATTTTTTGGTTTCCATTTTCCCTAAAAGTTCCACATTGCTTACTTGCTGCATCCATGGTATTCTCCTCCTCCTCCCCCTCCTCCTCCTCCCCCCTCCTCCTCCTCCTCCTACAGAAACACATTTTCATTGCCTCTAGTTTCCTCTTCATCAGGAAGAATATACTACATTCCTATCGTAGAAATGATATTGCAAAGCTGTTCAGCACACTTTTCTTTGGTGGTATCGAAATTTTCCCATTTCCTGATACTTTGATTAGCTTTTGAAAGACACCTTTCATTATTCTAATTCACCTTAGTATTACCGCGCCATATTTCCCGTTGTCCGTTAATAATTACAATTAATAATAACTTACTTCTTATAAAATGAATATTAATATTATATCATATATTAAATATCATATTATTAAATTATAATAAAGTAGATGTCATATTTATCTGACATTTTCACAGTATAATTCAGTAGTTCTTAATGAACCCAAATATTGTCTAACCACATTCTCATAAATAACATTTATTTTTCGTATACAGTGGGCTATGATAAGATTTTAGCCACCCTGATTTCAGCAATTTTTGCTTGTCTCTTCTTTTTTTTTGACAATACCGTGTTAGTATTAAGCTAATCTAATCTATGAACAACAGTTGACTTATATCTTGCAATGAAAGATCGTGGAAGTAAGGAAATTAGTGAATTTCAACAATGGCAAATAATAGGATGGCATCACTGTAGCAAGTCAAATAGAGAAAATGCTGGGTTTTTCCAGGTTAATCATCAAATAGTTAATAATATCGTCAAGAAATTTTATGAAGAAGCCCATTGTCGTGTGGAACAACGTTCAGGAAGATCAAGCATCGTGTCTGGGCGAACGAAAAGGGCACTGAATAGGAAAGTCAACAGAAGCTGTCGCCAGAGCGTCAAAGATGTTGTCAACAACATGGTAATGTCGCCATATGCGGTGAGAAAGATTCTGAAAGAGTTAGGCTATCAAAGAAGAGTTGCAAGAAAGAAGCCCTTGATTTTAGAGGTTAACAGGAACAAGCGTATGGACTGGGCGAGAGAATTCGAGAGCAAAGATTATAAGTTTTGGCAATCTGTAATTGGCTGGTATGTGACGCTTTCTATCCAGATAAGGTTAGCAATATGCAAACAAATGTTCGGATTTTTTAGCTGCCGACAACGAAATAAAATAAAACCATGAGTTTGTGTATAACTCATTAAGTTTATTTTATAAAAGAATATATGTGTTTCCTTAAATGTGATTTTGTCATAGTCAGTTATGTGCTTCAGTCGATACATGACTGCCGAGGCAGATTTTTTCCCGCAGTAGGTTGCCATTTCTTCCTGCGGTAGACCAGTTGCCATCCAACCCGGACGGTCCTGCTATTTACCCATGGGGGGGGGAAGAAGAGGATTCATACCTTTCTCAAGGGCACGTAAGTGAATGTAATAGATTCGACTGTAATTCGAACTCGGCTCTCCGATTCCTCAATCCGAGCCGCTATCCATTACTACACCTTGCCTCCTACTCATGGGTATTTTGTTAAAAAATATTCCTTGGTTTGAGTGTAACCTTACCGTCTCATTACCCTTTGCTTCTCCCTCCCTATCGACCCTTTTCCTGCATATCACCTTTGGAAATCACAGATCAAACTCATCCAGGAGACACTAAAGGGAGTTTTAAAATCACGGGGGCCAATGTTTTTTTTAACCTTACTTCTCATTCTACAACAACACGACAATAATAAGACATCAAGTGAATTTACTACAATAGTGATGAGTTTCTTTACCATTACGGTAAGCGTCCATTCATTCATCTCTCTCTCTCTCTCTCTCTCTCTCTCTCTCTCTCTCTCTCTCTCTCCCATACTCACACACCCTCGCTCACTCTATTTTATACTTCACTGTCTTTTTCCCTGAGCATACCCTTTTTTTCAATCTCTTTATATATTATGCTTTTCTTTTTCTTCACATCACGTTCAAACACCCGTTCCCGTCAGATAACCGAAGTTAAGTAACGTCGAGCCTGGTCAGTACCACAAGAGGTGACCGTTTGGAATATCAAGAGCTGTAAGCTTGGATGTGCGGGTAGTGTAATGGATGTCTCGGAATTGTTAATTGGAGAGCCGAGTTCGAATACCAGTTGGGTTCGTTATATTCACTTACTCGCAAATATCATTGGGAAAGATTTGAATCCACCTGTTCTCTCCCCAGCTATGGGTTAATTAGTAGGACTTTTATCACTAAATCATTATTATCTCCAAAATTAAAAAAAATTCTTATATTGTAAAAACATTTTCTGGCTTTAATCAACCTGTAAAAGTTTGATAAACCGTAAAAAATGAATCAATCAATCGTTCTTTCATTACTGTGTAGTTTTTATTTAGATTTTTAAAGTATATTTTCTCTCTATTTTCTGTTCTTCTTCTCTCTCTCTCTCTCTCTCTTTCTCTCTTTTACACGCTCTCTCTCTCTTTCACTCTCAAACGCATACATTCGCACACTTGTCACCTTTTCCTCTATCTCTCACCCTCTCCTTGCTTCTTTTTCCCGATTTTTACAATTTCTTCCTTTCTCTCCCCATCTCTCCCTCCCTTCCACCTCTCTCTCTCTCTCTCTCTCTCTCTCTCTCTCTCTCAGTCTCTTTACCACATGCATTTAGACACTTGTCACCTCTCCTTTTCTTCGTTCCTTTTCCTTCTTCTTTCTTTCACATTCTTCCTTTCCCTCTCTCTCTCTCTCTCTCTCTCTCTCTTTCTTTGCTTTTTTTTCTCCTTTATTTTTACTCTCCCTCTCTCTTTCTCTCTCATTCCTGCTCTGTTGCCGATTATTTTCAAAGAAGACGCTTTTTCTTTATTTCGTGAAAATATGTCCGTTGTAATGGCGTATTGTCTTTGCTTGGTCAAGTACAAAATGAGTTGAATTCCCCAATAAAACGCTGACCTCGAATGTTGTCCAAGAAATTAAATGGTCCAAAGTTATGTTCGTCATGACCTTGCATCTTATTTCACAGACAACATTCCATAAGATGAATTCAACTTAATAACGACTACTAATATTTACGCAGTTATATAACCCACATTATTTATTTAAAACTGCGTTCTTTTTTTTTCTTTTTTTACCCATTTTATTTCTTCTTTTTCATCTTTTTTTTTTCATAAGCCTTATATTTTTTTTTCGACATTCTTTCTTTTTGTTTTCTCCCCACCATTTACCCATTTTCCTTTTTCTTTAAATAAAAAGCACGAAGAAAAATGAGTAATGTTAAAACCTTCTCCATCTTTTTGCTATTTTTATAATTTCCACACTCTTTCTTTTTTCTTTCTTCTTTAAGGGCAATCAACAAAGATTGCCCTTACTCATTTCCTAATCTTCTTTCTTTCTTTCATCCCCTTTCTCTTTCCCTATCTTTTTCTTTTTGCCACCTTCACCAGCTTTCTTTATCTTTCTCTCTTCCTTCTCTCTTTCTCTTCACCTTATTTACTATCTTTCTCTCTTTTCCTCTCTTTTTATTTTCACCTCATTTACCGCCTTTCTTTCTTTTCCTCTCCCTCTCGTTTCCTCCTTTAACAACTTTCTTTCTCTGCCTTTCGCCTCTCTCTCTCTCTCTCTCTCCCTCTCTCTATCTATCTATCTATTAGGTTGGTGCAAAAATAATGTCGTTTTCTCACATATGTTACTTTTATATATGATTTCTGAATTAATTCATTGATATATATAGCCATGTTATATATCATTTTGAAGCGCGTTTTTCGCTCTATCGAATCGTGTTATCCGTTACCGTTCTCAATCTCTTCATTCATTTTTTTTTGCAGGCTTTTCGACAGCATGGACAAAATTCAAATCCGGACGATTTTCTTGTTCCAGTTCAAACTAGGCCGAAAAGCTGCCAAAACAGCTCGTGATATCAATGATGCGTTTGGCCCAGGAAGCACTAACGAACGTGTGGCACAACGGTGGTTCAAGAAATTTCGCAATGGTGAAGATGAAGACGGTCGCGGCCGGCCGACTGCGGTTGATAACGAACATTTAAAAAGCCTTAATTGAAGCCGATCCTCGCAAAACCACACGAGAAGTTACTGTTGAACTCGAGGTCGACCACTCAACAGTCGTTCGCCATTTAAAGCAAATAGGGAAGTCAAAAAAGTTGGATAAATGGGTGCCGTAAGAATTGAACGATAATCAAAAAAATCGTCGTCTTGAGGTGTTTTCTACGCTCCTTCTGCGCAACAAAAACGACCCATTTCTCGGGCGGATTGTGACGTGTGATGAGAAGTGGATCCTCTAGTCTACGACAACCGGCGACATTCGGCACAGTGGTTGGATGCCGGAGAAGCTCCACAACACTTCCCGAAGCCGAAATTGCACCAAAAAAGGTAATGGTGACTGTTTGGTGGTCTGCGACCGGTCTCATCCATCACAGCTTCTTGAATCCGGGCGAAACGATTACGGCGGAGAAGTACTGCCGACAAATTGACGAAATGCACCAGAAGCTCTAACGTATGTGCCCGAGATTGGTCAATATGAAGGGACCAATTCTCCTCCATGACAACGCTCGCCCGCATGTTGCTCAATTGACCCTGCAGAAGCTGAACGAATTGGGATACGAGACTGCCTCATCCGCCATATTCACCGGACCTCTCGCCCACCGATTATCACTTTTTCAAGCATCTCGACAACTTCCTGTGCGAAAAATGCTTCAAAAGCCCAGATGATGCCGAATCGGCCTTCAATGACTTCATCGCTTCCAGAACTCCAGATTTCTATGCTAATGGGATAAATAAACTTGTTTCTCGTTGGTAAAAACGTGTTGATTCTAATGGTTCTTATTTCGATTAATAAAGTTTATTATGAAAGGAGTTATGATCTTTTGAAGTTGAACGTCAAAAAACGACATTATTTTTGCACCAACGTACTATCTATCTATCTATCTATCTATCTATCTATTTGCTTCTATTCCCCCCTCCTTTCCCTTTGCATATTTTGTTTTCTTCTTTCTTTCATTTTCTCTTATTTTTTTTTATTTTTTCCCTTCATTTATTTCTTTTTCTCTTTTATTTTCTTTTCAGCACCCCGGCATTATACTAAGAGAAGTAGATTCAGAATCACACTCTGATGTCAGAGTCAAAAGGACGGCTTATTTTCTGAATGAATTAGATTTCAAATTCGACCTTGTGTGCGGTTTTTGTGTGTGGTTTGTGAATCTCCCCACACTAAAAAATGACCACGTGTCACGTTCTGTCATTGTGGGATGAAAAATAAACTTTCTTCTTTTATACCTTTCTTTCTTTTCAACTAATTGCTACCTCTACTACTCTCTTGATGACAATTATCATCACGACATTACCAAATACGGTTTTAAAGAAAAATGAGATTTCACAAGTGAAAATTTTTAATGTAAATTTTAATGTCTGTCTATATTTCTGAGATGAGGTATTATGTACAGTATTTACATTAGTCGAACTATTGTCCTCATCTTTGTCGACATATTTGTCACAACGTTTCGGCCGTTGTACGCTCCGGCCTTCTTCAGGTGGTTGGAATTTCGAACTGAACCCTTTATTTCGATCACTGGGGTAGACTGTTCTAGTTTCACTTGCCATGTTTGATGGATGTCCGTTATCAGTTATCTCCTGCTAATTTTCCCTCTGAAAGTTCTCCATATTGCTGTTATCATTGCATGTTTTTACCAGAGTTCATATTGCAACTTTGTTATCATTGCTTTTCTCTGGCACTCCTTATTACTGGTTCCCATATGGTATTTATTTCTATGCTTGGTCGGCTCAGGACATTTTTGTGGCCTAGCATATGTGCTGATTCCTTAAGTTTACGAATTTTCCAATGGTGTTCCCTGTCTCTGATCTCAACATGATCCCAAAGGGGACGGTGATCTCCCTTCTCTCTCCATATGTGGTCAGCCACGCCTGATTTTTCTACTTCTCCTCGCGTTACAACTTTCTGGTGTTCTTGAAGCCTTACCTTGAGGGGGCGGCCTGTCTCTCCTTTATATTCCTTTCCGCGGCTGCACGGGATAGCGTACACACAGGCTTTAGTCATGTCCTCCTCTGTGGGGGGTCTCACTCGAGAGAGATATCTGCGAAGTGTTGTCACGCTTTTGAAGGTTGTCCTGATGTTATATGGACCGCAGATCCTTTGTATTTTCTCTGATAACCCCTTCACGTAAGGCAGGCAGACTGTTTTCTGAGTGTTGTTGTCCTCCTCCTCCTTCTCTTGTACCCGCCTATCCCAGTTTTGGGGGGCTGCTGCCATGTACCCCGGGTAGTTGTTACGTTATAGGGTACTACTTATACTGACCAATTCCTTATCTAACGTCTCTGGGTCGCTGACTTTTGCTCAGTGTTGTAAGCAATGGGCGCTGTATGTATGGTGGGAGTTGAAAGACAACCTGAAGAAGGCCGGAGCGTACAACGGCCGAAACGTTGTGACAAATATGGCGACAAAGATGAGGACAATAGTCCGACTAATGTAAATACCGTCAATTTTAATTATATTATTTGGAATTCCGGGAAATCCGGTGGTTAGGTACATTTTTTTTTAAACTGACACCATTAGTTTGTGAATTCGCCACTAGAGGTTTTGGATAATGCGATTTCAAACTACGAATTTAATAATTTTATTTCTGAATCCTATAATTTACTATAATTTATATTTTATAAAATATATTTAAAATGTATTGTTGCATTTTCCACACCATTTGAAAAATCGTTAAAAACCGATAAAAAAAAAATCCTAAAATGTGTGCATTATTTGTGTTTTCTGTCATTTTGAGTAATTTGTCTCGAACTGTTTGAAACTCAAGCATTTTGAAATAGGCCTCCATTTCTAGTCCTATGTTGCACAATGGGTTGGTTTGTAGTATAGAACGTTATGATTTGCTCCCGCATCTTAATAATTATATAAGTGTCTTATGTTATCCATAGTGATTTTTTGACTGCGCTAGAGGCTTACGGTCACAACACGTTGAAACACCGGTTTCCATACGATCAGCAAAGTTAAGCAACATAGATGGGTGACCGTTTGGGAATACCAGATGCTGTAAGCGTGGATGTGTGGGTGGTGTAATGGATAATATAAAAATATTTTCTGGACTTAAATGAACTGCAAAGAGTTGTTAAACTGTACTTTATTAATTAATGAATAAATTTGTTTGACTTTTAATTTATTTTTACTACTATTGTTTTATAAGATCAGTAACGTTTTCAGCTATGTGTATTCATATGTTATATGATCTGATAGTATTATTCTAAAGCGCTTTACGTTCCGTATAAAGTTCTCAGTTCGTATATAAAATACGCGGTTAAAAAAGAGCTAACACTTTAGAACTGATCCCCTGTGCCCGCTCGACACTTTTTTCAAGTTACACGAAAGATTTTGCTGAGATTTTAGAATTCACAATATTTTTCAACTTTTTTTAAGCTTTTCTTAGTCTAGCTCAAGGCCACAAAATACTTAAATTACAAAGATTTTCTACTCATCCTCTGCGCCATCAACATTGATAACAATTTGGTAAAAATCCCCAAAGTGGGAAAATGAACACCACATGTGTCGTTATCTGATCGTCTCAAAGAATGTGTTTACACTTGTACGTCTGTTCCTTCTTGTCAACTCGACTTTCTTATCTATACATCTATCTATCACGCTTACACATTATTTATTTATTTGTTTATTGGATAGAGAGTTATTCTGCGGAAAAAATACGTCAATTGTCAAAACGCTAAATGTCATATCAACGATGGTTCTGCATTACTTACACCACGAAGGCTACCAAAAAAGGGGGAGCGTACTTTGAAAGATACCTATATAATCCTACAGTGAATGAAGTCGGTGTAATATTCCTTCAAATATTTCAAAATAGACAAGAAAATCAGAAAATGTCAACAACAACAGGTTTAAATGAATAGCTACACTTAAAAAATCCCTTTTGTAAATCAAAAGATCATTTTCTTTAACGAAATTTCAAGTGAGAATTTTTCGATCTTTTATGCCAAATTGAAGAATTTGAATATATATATATATATATATATATATATATATATATATATATATATATATATATATTCGGCCCTTCAAAAAGTGTGGATGGTCCTGCACAAAACCTTCACCACTATAATCAAATCTCATGTGCCGGTATCGGGCTGTCAGTTTCCTGAAACTGATCTGCTTGACCCTCATACGTCGAACCCGACGGGAGAATCGATTTTTATAATTCTCGTAATCCTAAATCAGTAGATCATTTCTTTTCAGATGATTATCTCTTCGGAGGATTACAGCATCCTTAAAAAATAAAACAGTTGGTTTATCTGTATTTTTTATTTTTGTTTCATAGCTATTTTTCTTCTCTGGAATATCTATCTATTTATCTATCTATCTATCCATATATATATATATATATATATATATATATATATATATATATATATATATATATGTATGTATGTATGTATGTATATGTATATATGTATCTATCTATCGATGTACATATGTATACATGTATCTATCTATGTATCTATTTAGTAAATAAAGTTATTTAGTAATCCGTATGGATAATACCAAGAGAGCTCAATGTAAAAACAGAGCAAATATTAATTATATTAAGAAACAGACAATTTTAAGGATTCATGGGATTATAATTTATTTCCTTGGGACCTGGATTTTAGTCCTTACTTTTCAGATTTCCCTTTTCAAATAGAAATATGGGTTATTGATGGCCAGGCTAATAACATATCTATGTATCTATATATGTATGTATCTATGTGTGTATCTATGTATGTATGTATGTATCTATCTCTGGATCTATCCATGTATGTATCCCTGTTTCTATCTCTCTGTGAATCTATCTATGTATCTATGTATTTATCTCTGTATATATCAACCTATGTATGTATGTATCTATCTATATATCTAACTTTTTCGTGAGAACACTCTTTGTTTCTTTTTTTTATATAGTCTCTTTATATATCATGCCTTTCCTTTCTTTTATCACGGTCACATCACGTTGAAAAACCGGTTCTCTTAGGAACACCGAAGTTAAGCAACGTCGAGTCTGGGCATTACCTAGATGGGTGACCGTTGGGGAATGGCAAGTGCTGTAAGCTTCAATACACGGATGATATAATGTGCAATGGCTCAGGATTATAAATTTTTTTTTTTTTTTTTTTACTTGCTCTTTGAATTTATTTTTGATTTTTCTTTTCGTTCATTTTCTTTTGTTTTTGGTTTGTTTGTTTTTTTTTTTTTTGGGGGGGGGGGCTTTTTAAGTGTCATTTTGTTTGCATTTCGATTTTTCTTTCCAATTCATGGCAACCTCGTCCCCAACCACGTGGATCAGTGCGACAACATTAAATGAGACCAAAAAGAAAGAACAGTTTGACGACTGAAAGTTATCTAAAATATTCTCCGATTGGTTTCTCTGTTTATACGCCTTTCAACCTAGGATCAGAGTGTACCATCTACCGAGTTCCCTGCTCTTCTGAATTAGAATAACTTATCCTTCCTGACCGAGAAACATACATATTAATATTAAGTAAGAATAGAATTGGAAAATGCAAGGTAGATGAGGTGATGAGAAAATGAGCTTTATGAAGGGAAAGTAGGGATGAAGAAAGTTAGGGGAAGAACGAAAATAAAAGTAAGTGAATTGAGGAAAAATAGATAGATAGATAGATAGATAGATAGATAGATAGATAGATAGATAGAAATTTATAAATATAGAGAATAAACAGAATAAATAGATACCAACAAATGGATATATAGCCAATGATAGACAGAAACATAGATATATAGGGCAAACAAATAGATATATAGCTAAAGGTAGAAACTTAGACATATAGAGTAAAAAAGGATAGATAGATAGATAGATAGATAGATAGATAGATAGATAGATAGATAGAAACACATTAATATATAGCTATAAGTAGCGAGAGATGTATAGATAAATAGAGTAAAAAGTTTAGATAGATATGAACAGAATGAAAAAGTAAGAAAGTTTTTTAATAGATCCTGACAGACTTCGATAATCTGAAAGTTCCAAAATATATGTTTACACGTACGGGCAATACATAACACGTATACGCATGTAATGCATTGAGTAGAAACCTATGAAAACCGTTGAAAAATATACTTAAATTACTGTTTGTAAAGAAAATCCCAGTCCCAATACTGGCACTTAAGATTGAACTCCAAAATTCTTCCAAAACGGCTTAAACAAGGAGATATCTCTATGAGGATCGTTAATTTTACAAGTGCTAAATTGACGACTACTCTTCATTATTCTCTTGGATTAGTCCCTTCGAATGAACCTAATTCCACAACGATTGGATAGAACTTCTCGGGCTTGCGTCTTTTCAAATACTATTTCAACTAAACCCGCCCGGCTACACAGTTTAAATCGAATATGATCGCTGAATTGAAGAGGAAGCTAGAAAAAGAGAGATAATCGGTTATTCTTAGATCCGACAAGATATAATTACTTTCACGGTGATTGGTTATTGATGGCCAGGCTAATGACATCGACGCAAGTAGGGCTTGGAATTATCAAGAGGGGAAATCAGACGATAACTCCAGTCAAACGAATTTAAAGCTTCTGATATTTTCTTCTGGTGGAATCAAGAAGGATTTGCAATCGGACTGAAATGGCGCCAACAGTCAAAATATCGTTGTTTAACCGTTACCATACGGCATCATATATATATATATATATATATATATATATATATATATATATATATATATATATATATATATATATATATAAAAAACTCGTTAATAACAAATATTTCTTTTTAAATTAACCCCTTCTTTTCTCGTTGCTTCAATCATTTTTATGTATATGAGTTAAAGATCAAATGTAGATCAAATGTGGAAAAGACAGAAACACTGGTATTTTCAATTTTATTTGGATCAGTTCTCATTGGTCAGACACGTATCTTAAAACCGTAGATAATTTTATGTGTATGTAGGTTTGTGAAGATTCTTATATGTCTAAGTGGGCATCGAGTGTAATTGTGTATGCGAGTCTGTTTCGTGGGAGTTCTATTTTCGCCTCGCAGCCGGGTGCCACATGGTTCTAATTTATGGCTGGCCTCTTTAAGAATGTATTCTTTGTATTAGATAGACATAATTTAGATTCTTTAAGAATAGATTCAAAGAAAGATGACGGTGTAACGTATGCTTTTCCCTTCCCAGATTGATCCTTCTATTCTTTCTAATTTTAAAACCTTTTCTTACTTGCCTCATTTTTTGCGAATTGTTTTGTTTTCTTCCGCATTTTCCGTGTTATATTCTTAGTATTTCCGACCACATTTTCCCTCACACTCTTCAGTTCAATTGTTGACATTGAGTTATTTCCCTTTCTCATTGTATTCTTTTTCTTTAGTTTTCCTTATCCTTGTCAATCTATTAATTATAGGGACTAATTCCCTATTCATATTTTCAATATAATTTTCTTTATTTCACAAAGAATTTTAACGATTTTTTTTACTCTTGTTCGTCCAACACAAGGCCCGAAAGGCACTCAACGGTCACTCGATTAACTTGTTAAAAATAGATAACTGTTAACCTATTAGGATGTATTTTCTGTCTGAGAATCAGTTCTTTTCTCCATTTCAAAGTTAAAATTGACTCTGAAAGCTACCATTCTCTGATCACTTTGTATATAATAAAGGGTGTTCCAATAACTTGGAGCGATTTTAAATTTGAATTAAGTTTAAGCGTCTAATGATTTTTTTTTCTTTCAGATTTAACAACTTAAGCCTTTGGTAATTTCAACCATGGAAAGATTAACAATCAAACAACGTGTTACAGTTATCGAAGCCTATTACGAAAATGGACGTTCAAACAGAAATTTAATGAGAAGTTCTCAGGTCGCATCATCTCTCGAAACAGCGAAGTCAATTGGCCACCACGATCGTGCGACTTGACGCCTTTAGATTTCTTCTTTTGGGATCATCTCAAAAGTAAGATTTATGCCAACAAGCCAACAATTCAGCAGTTGAAGGATAAGATAATAAAGCATCTTAGTGAGATCGAGGAGTAACTATGCAGAGACGTCATCAAAAATGTTGACCATCCAGTGGAGGTGTGCCGCCGAAGACTTGGCGGATATTTGGGCGATATTATTTTTTAGACATAACTGCCATGACTTAAATAACATGCTCCAATAGAGTAATAAATAAACTTTCACCAATAACACGGATTTATTTACTGCTGACTTTGATCCGTCTTAATGAAACACCCTTTATTTGTTTATAATGCATACATCAGTATCAGTACTGGGATCTCTCAGTAATTATGAAGTGAATTTCTCTATTTGGACTTTTCCAAATACATTTACGATGCTTTCGCTTTTTTAAAAAGATATATTCATAACAGATATTTTTTTGCCATACTAATAAGAAACAATTCAGTCGTTCCTCTTCCATATTCAAAATGTTTCTGCGGCAGATTTTTCTTTTTTGCCTAATTTTCCAATCAAATCAAAATGAGGTAATTTATTTTCTGCTCGTCTATAACGCTACTGGTGTCGTAAAACCATTCCGATTTCTAATCCAAACATTTAGAGATCAATGAGTATATTGTTTTAGAATCTATCATCTGATTACTATTCAAACAAATTTGGCTGATATACAGTCGAATCTTTATATGTTGCCCACAATGTTATTTCTTTTTCGCTGGCGAACATGGGTCCTCAAAATTTTCCTCTCCTTTATAGCTCTTAATATCTCTTATCGTTTACTATCTCTCCTAAACCTCGGTCTACCGTCCACTTACTCAAACCCACTAGGTAGGTTATTCTCTCTCTCTCTCTCTCTCTCTCTCTCTCTCTCTCTCTCTCTCTCTCATCTTCAATCTGTCATGTCAGTAAAGAGTATTTTCCAAACCCTAATTTCAACTCTCTTTTTCTGATATGAAGTACAAGTGTTCTTTTTATTTGCATTTTCTCCAAAACTTCGTCTTTTCTCACGTGTTTAGTCTATGGTATTCTCAGTATCCTTCTCTAGAACCACATTTCTGTTGCTTCTAGTCTCTTCTTCATCTGTGTGGGGGATTATCCAGCATTGACTGTCATAAAACCCCAACGCTCCTAGACGTGTCACTACATTTTTCTCATATAATAATGTGTACGATTGGTTATTTTTTTACTTACTTTCTTTACTTCTCTGTAAGTCTCAATAATACATACGCCGTGTTACCAATATAACCCCATTATTTATTCTTCGAGTATCTGTCGAGCTTAAAGAGTATCTGTTTGCCATCGTTGTCACACGGACTGCAGGCACTTGAAGCGGGACCTTAGTTAGACACCGATCCAATAGGAACTTCGCGGTGTATATCTAGTTTTAATATCATTTAGAGTTTAAATTCCGACCTAATCATTTGTGTTCAATTTTCCTGGTAACGCCCTTAAAAAGTCCTGAATTTACGTCTTCGCCCCTTAGCGAGGGATTAAATAGAATGGTATACTAGGCTCATTAGCTTTGGTTGGTTAAAAGAAGGTTAACTCTGAATTCCAGACCGTGGAGTAGGTAGTCAAATTTCAGACCGAGAGAATCCAATTCCCTATACTCCTCAGGAATGAATTGTAATTTATATATATAAATAGTTTTATTTTCATTTATAGTTTAAGGAAGGTGGTGACAGACAAATTTCGTATATAAGAAGTAAGGAAATTGAACCCAGGATAGGTAGCGCACTGGGCGCTTTTGCTAAACATCGTAAGATGATATAACGCCAAAATAGTGACCTGAAAATTCATGTCATGTTTTGTAATAACCCCGTCAAGTCTAACCCTATGTATTTTTCTTGTATACAACCGTTTTCCCTGATCAATGATTAAAATGGCTTCAAAGTAATTAATAACCCTATATATCTTTCATCACACCATATAAACTACAAAGTCATACGTCTTAAGTATGAAGATAAACTACATCTGTCAGCAAGGCTTCTGATCGGGAGGTTTCGAGAAGCACCTCTTCATTGCAGGTTGTTACCAGATCTACCCTGATCCGGAGTGGTAAAATCTTTCCTATGCTGCCAGTGATGGACAAAGAGTAAACCCAAAACTGGGATCAGAACATGAAAATATAACATATATT